AAAATATTTGTTAGTAAAATTAAAAACTTTTATATATAAGGAAAAATATGTATTTTACTAATTATAATTAGTAAAAATTTAAGTGTTGCATTATTTTTGATTGTTACTGTATTTATTATTTTATTAAGTATTATAAATTAAATAATATAATAAAAAATAAAAATAAAGATTATTAATTTTTATATTCTAAATAAAAGATAAAATAATAGATTAGTAAAATAAATTAATAATATTATAAATAAAATTATTAATTTATTTATTAATTAAATAAAAAATAGAATAATAAATTAGTTAAATAAATTATTAATATTAAAGAAAGTGAAAATAAATAAAATTATTAATTTTTTATATTCTAAATAAAAAATAAAATAATAAATTAATTAAATAAATTATTAATATAAAAAAAAATATAAAATAAAATTATTAATTTGTTATATATACAAATAAAATTATTAATTATTTATTAATTAAATAAAAAATATAATAATAATTTATAATAAATATTTATTAAATAATTTGATATTAAAAATATATACAGTATTATTATATAAATTAAAAATCTTGCTAGTTATAAATATATAAATATATTAATAATATATCAAAGTATAGTAGTCATCAAAAATAATGCAATGCTTAAATTTTTTACTAATTATAATTAGTAAAAAATTTAAGCGTTGTATTACTTTTGATGGCTACTGTATATAATATATTAATGTAAAATAAAAATAAAAAGAATATTTATATTTATAATTTAGTTATTTAAGAAAATTAATATTACTCTTATTAATTTATTTTTATTAATAAGTAATATATTTATTATTATATAATTAATTATTTTATAAAATAACTAAATAAAAATTATATTTAATATTATTATTGCAATAATAATCTTATTTTTATATGAAAATATTATATTTAAATATGAATTTTTAAAAAAATCATTTCTAATAGAAAAATAATATTCATTAATAATTTGATTATAGAATTTTTGAATTAATATTAGATTAAATATAAATTATTAATACTATATTACTCTTAGATAAATGATTTAATAAAATATTTAAATAAAATAATCTGTATTGTAAAATAATCTGTATTGTATTTGTCAAATATATTTAATTTATAAATAAAAATATTATCTATCAAATATTTTATTTATAAATATAATAATGAAATAAAATATATTCAGTTATTCTATTTAACAAATAATTAATAAACAAAAAATCTTTAAATCTCTAATTAGAATTGTTAAATAATTAAAAAACAATATTGAAACAAATTATTCAAAGAGCTTGTATTATAATTGATCAACTTACAAATTAATATTTCAAAAAAATGCAAATAAAACAAAAAGAATATTAAAAATCATTCAAGTATTTGAAATTGTAATAATAAAGTTTTAATGAAGTGTTTCATCAAAGTAAATCAAAATTTTATGCATGATCTTTTTGGGACTCAATATCTAGAGACTTCAATGACTGGTTTGCTCGCATCGCATTGTTATATTTTGTGTTTATGCAATCATTTTATAATAAATTTTGACAATGTTAAATATTATTTTATGCAAATATAAAGAATATATGATAACTGAATTTACATGAACTAGAGCAGTTTTTATTGGCAAAATACATTATTTTTATTTCAATCAGAGGAAGACACTAGGGTAGAATTTTTATTGATATTTTGTATTTAATTACAAACTTTACACCAATTACGAATATTACACTAATTACATACATTATACGAAATTATGAGTATTACATCAATTAGGGTAAAATTACAATTTTTAAGTCAAACTGTTGCAACCCTTCAACTTAAATTAAACCCATTACGGCATGAGACGCTCTCGGGGCTCTCGGGGACACCTTTTTCAATGTTCCTCTTCAAGTGAAGGTAAATACTCGCTTCCCTTGTTATGTCGCTTTAATGACAACTAGACGATTTATTTTATTATTAGATGAAGACAGCAAAAAAGAAGAAGTGCAAGTGAAAAAGGCAAGAACCTTGGAATGGGTAGTCGATCGTGTGGGAACCAGGAAGCTGCCGCCACCAGAGAGAGCACATAGTAGCACTAGTCAGGTCCCTAAAGTGGATCGCACAACGTACAACCTTGCATCATCATATTATCTCGCAAATAGGATCGAAATTAAAAACCCACCATATAGTGCATCAAAGCTTCCGATCATCCACAACAGACAACTATTCATTCGTGTTCGCGATAATCCCAGAGAATTCGTATGTCGTGGGCGAGCGATCTGGAAATTAGCGATAACTGATATATTGTTTCATGCCTTTCCCAGTTTTCCGCCCGGCTGTATAACCAAACTAAATGATAAGATAAAGATCGAGATGTTCGACAAGTTATGGAAATCAAACAAACATGGCGTAGGCTTTTTGCAATACCTCGCCATTTACTACCTCGATCAGAAGACGGATGGGATGGAAAAAGTTATCTATTTTGTGAAGTGTTTGCTGCAGCCTCTCACTGGTCATTTTTTGCAAGCGTTGAATCTTCTGGATATTGACGCGAGAGATGAGAAGTTGGCTCCGGCTGCGGCTCCTCATGGATGAGGATGATGAATCACTGATAATTCTGTCTTTCTGGTTGTTTGTTTGTTCATATGGATTTGGTTGAATTTTGTAACTCTGTTCTCGAGATATCCAATTTATCAGAGTCAAGTTACAGTATTATACCGATTTTTCTTTTTTTATAACAAAAATATCATATTTAGTAAATAGTAGCATTTTTCCCGTATTAACATTTTATTCATTGTTTAATCACTCTTAAATTTTTATTTCACATTAACATTTTTATTTCATCATCCCTCTCCGTATTAACACTTTGTTTATAGCATCTTTCACAAATTAACACAATAAAAATTCAAATTTTTTCTTAAATATATCAACCCAAACCCAAATCCTCTTTGTTTTTTATCATCAATGAATTCGATCCAGATTATTTTATAATCATATTTGAACCAAGTTATTAGTCACACAATAATGAAATTCAGCAAAATTGCATCTCAGAGAATCTCACGTAATGTTTTTTTTTCCAACTCTTTTTCGTTCGTTCAAATGCTTTTTACTACAACTATTATCATAACTAGTAACAAAAAAAATATGATTACATTGTTATCAAATCAAATAATAAAAGCAAAATAATTGTCCTTTGTTTTAAAGCAAATGGTATAAGTGGTACTATTAAACTACTACAATAATGTGAAGAAAAACGAGATTTTCCCCTTCTTATATTCATCTCTCTTTTTGTATGTGCGTGTTTCTGTAATGCAAACACATAATATGAAATTAAAAAATTAAAAAAAAAATTATGTACAATTATAATAAGTAAACGAAAAAGAAAAAGAAAAATCAAAACAGCGATAACAACTTTCAGTATCTTATTCGTCAAACTGTAGTGACGCCAGATGTCTGGCTGTTATCGTTGTTGTTGCTTTCGTGATTTTGTAGTAGTTGTTCCTGCAGTTCATCTTCAACAGCATGACAAATCTACCAAAAAAGTAGTTAGCGTTGATTTTAATACATCCATCCACGTATTACTTCAACAACACTTTAGAGACTACTATCGAACAAACAAGTCAAGTCAGGTCATAATTTAGACCGACTTACTGTCTCACGCAACGGCTCCAACCGAAACTTTACATCCTTCATCGTCTTGGAAACAGGTTCCCACTCGTCATACTGTTTCCTCAATCGATAAAGCTCGCGTGTAAAGTATTCGGAATTGCCGACGTATCTGTCATCGAGGATCCCGCGCATCGCCCACGGGAGGTAATACGGGTTGTAGCTTCTTTGTGCTTGGAATGATTTTTGGACTACGGTGATACCGTTAGATGGAGTTACTGTCTCAAAGAGGTAACGAACGGCTAAACTATTTTGTTGATGTGGGTCAAAAAATCATTAATTATTTTGATTTATCATGATAAAAGCCTTCGAACAGGTAAGAGGAGACGCTTACGTGTATACACCAATTTCTTCATATAAAGCCGAATGTCCTTCACCAGTCAACGAACCGGCGACCACTTCACTCAAGTGCACTAAAAGGTCGTGATCCTGAATACCAGCATTACGTAGTCGAACAGCAAAGACAATCAGATTCGTGAGAAAGTCATTGTCTCGGTAGATAGGACCATCAATATACACAGCACGAAGTATCGATGGATGATTAGCGCCAGTGAATACGGCTGAATAAAGCTGTATGTGTTTTATTAATTGGTAATTAATAGATGATAATTATGTATGATAACAATTAAGAGGAAAACTCAAAATATATACCGGTACAACTTGATCATCCATCGATGCGACATACACAACTTTGACACCATTTGCAGTGATTATACGCAGTGCATCCCGGTATTTCTTTCCGACAAGACTATCCGAATTCATAAACTCAAATAACTCACGTGCAGCATCCGCCTCAAAATATTTCACTACCCAAGTGCTTTTCAAATACGGGAAGGGACCATGCGATATTCCAGCCATCGCCAACAAACAGATACGTTGTCGTCTCGGTTGTACACGACCTAACCCAATAAGACGAGCGAGAAGCATAGTACTAACAGGGGTGCCCTGAGAATGTGTCGCAACAAAAATCACATCCGCGGAAGCCAAGGCAGCACACCAAGCTTGATTTTCTAACAGATTTGAATATAAAATATCAACTCGAACATCGATCTTCCCTTCCCCTTCTAATGGTATTAATGTGACTGCGTCATTTGGAAGATGGATACCATGGCGTGCTAGGTACCCGACAACAGCTTTCCCCATCATATCGCAGAATTTCGGTGAAGTACCAGTCGGCTCACCGACAAGCGAGCGTACAAATTTTGTTGGGAACCATCCGTGTACACCAATAATTGCTATTTTTTTCACGTCGATTGAAGAACGCGTCAATTCGTCAAGAATTTTGGGGAGACCGCTTTCTGGGGCTTTGTCAGGTGGGAAGAAGTATGAGTTGATAGTGTGCAAGGTTTGTTGAATAAATGCATTGGGTTTTTTGTTGGATCGGAATTTTGAGAATTCTTCGAATGACGGAAGAACTTGGTTTAGTGGCGCTGGTTTGGTTTGTAATTTTGGTGATGGAGGAGTCGGAGTAGTTGTTGTCACCAGAGCCCCTGAAGATTCTGTAACTACAACTTTTTGATCTTTTCCATTTGACGTCGTTGTTACAGCAACCTGTTGCTCTGACACATCTGTGATCATTTTCTTTTCGGGCCCATTTTCAATATTAGCTGTCTTATTTGTTTGTGCAACATTTTTGAAAAAGTATATCCAAGAAGCACGCGATGTTTGCATTGATTCTACAAGCGGGTTTGTCTCTGATTTACTGGCAGTGCTAGATGTTGGTTCATCCTCTCGCTTTTTTTGCTTATTTTCCGAGTCTTTAGCATCATTGTTTTGCGGTGAAGAATTACCCGACGATGACAATCGAATTGATGCCGCAGGCTTCACAGGTCCTGATGATGAACTATCAGGTGGTATTGATCCTTCTTGTGCGGCAATTGTTTTTTGTGATGCTGAAGACGATGTTATTATTGGTTCAGTATTATTGTCAATATTATTTTCTGCTTCCTCTTCATTTGGAGGCTCTAATAGATTAGGTGTAGACGCAGACCACGGGCCAAAAAGTGACCATCGTTTCATTTCCGATGACTTGCGTTTTGTGATTACACGGACACTTGATGATCCCGATTTTATCTTTTTTGCCTTATCATTAGTATTACTATTATTATTATTATTACTATTGTCATCATCATCATTATTATTATTATTATTACTATTATTATTATTGTTGCTATTATTAGTAGTAGTAGTAGTAGTAGTAGTTGTAGTAGTTGTAGTATTTTCTATAGTAATATTACTTGTAGAATTATTATTTGAAGAATGAGATTGTTCATTATGATTGACTAAATCCTCAACTATACTTTGCTTCCCCTTTTGATTTTTTGGGGGTGTTGTCAACAGAGATTCTGGTTCTGAAATAATTAACGGTGCAACTTTTAAAACTTTATCATTGTCAAAGATGGACCAGCAGTATTAATTAAAAGAAACATACCATTATTTAAACTATTCCCACCTCCGAATATCCACCATGAATTTCTTGAAGATGACGAAGATGACAACTTGCTATGACTAATATTATTATTGTTATTGGTGGAAGAATCATTGTTATTTGATGAGGATGTTGTTTTCTCCGGGATACCTTCAAAAGTTTCCATCAATGGTGCAAGTGGGAGTCCCGGACTTTCACTTCTTCGTATGGATGACGGTTTACTATTACTATTATTTGAATTCGGAGCAATTTTCCGTGATACATCATCCCCATCCTCATCAGCATCAATATTATTATTTTTCCCACCATTGTCAATTACACCACCAGAAGGAGAATTCGTCCGACTCTTCAACGATGAAACACTCGACACCGAAGAACTTCCAGATGACACAAACGTACTCGTCGTAGCAATAGCCGTCGTTGTAGCGATAGTAGGCATTGCAGTAGTAAGAGTATTATTCGTCGTTGTTATCATGCTGACATTGTTATTATTAGCATTAGTGTTATTATTCGCAGCGACGGAATTCGACCACCAGCCACGAAACGATCCCATAGAAGCTCTTTTTGTATCATCATGTCGTCGGACGTTTTGATTTTGTTGTTTTGGTATTGGGATCGCTGGAGACCCATGATGTGGTTGTAAAGAATTTGATTGTGATTGCGGTTCTTGTTCTACCAAGGTTGAAGCTACGGACGGAACTTCCGAGGTGACCGAAGACGCAAAATTGTTCGCTGTGGCGATTGGTATTCCTTTTTGATGTTGTATTTTCCCTTCGCTTCCTTCCGATAATAATTCCTCGTTTTCTTTTGGAATTCCTTCGTCGATTCCTTTTATCAAATCTTTCTTATCGTCGTCGTTAGTGGTGGTGTGAGAATGTGTGGTAAAATCTATGCTGGTATCATTGGTGTTAGTACTTTTTAACCCTTTCTGATTCTTTTCAATGGCAATATTGTTATTGTTGTTATCTTCATTGTCCTCTCGATTAAACATTAAACCCCACCAGGAATTACGAGACATTTTTTTTTTTTGGTTCCGTCTGTCTTTTTCGTCAATGTAAATTTTGATGATTGATAATTGCGAAAAAGAAAATTTGGTTTGATTGATGGATGTTGCCTAACCAAAAAAGAAAAAATTTTGACCAAATCTACACGCTCACTTGACCAAGACGAGACAACTACAACAAGAGGAAGAGAAATAATAATGTGCCTTTTTCTTCTGTTTGCGGGGGAGATATGTTTGAATAAAAAAAATGTTGTAGGTAAAATAATAGATATAGATCAAAGAAGCGGCGGAGGAAGAAAAGAAATGCGGAATATATTATTAACTAAAGTATGAATATATAGAGCGCGTAGTATATATTTATTTTTATTTATTTTATTTTTATTTTATTTTATTTTATTTTTTTTATTTCTTGTGTATACGCAGTTTGTAGCACAAAAAAAACCGTGATGAATAAGTGGTAAAGTTTTTCGGTATTTTCTCTTTTGTGTTTTGTATCTAAATCGATACTATATTTTTATATTATACAGATATAATAAGTGTGATACATATTTTTTCTCTAAAAAATCATGGCAGAGTACTGTAAAATATAGAAATCCAGCCGATGATAGATGCGAATGATGAATGATGTCATGCAAGTGATACATTATTTATACACTCTGCTCTGTATTTTAAATTCGATATTTTTTTGGGGTAAATATTCAGTTCAATTTTAATTAATCAATTATATTCTTTAATTAATCCGCTGCTGTTGTGTCCCGATTTGGGGATCTTCCTTTACACCAACTAATAATATGATGATGAATGATTTGTGTTGACGAGCAAACGGATGATCATGAGATATGCAGAATAAATTTTGGGGTAACCATTTTTTCGAGATGAAATTTTTACCTGCGCTTTGCCCAGGTGCTAAATCTGTGCTGGCTCTCATATGTCTAGTAAAGTGTGTTGTATGAATTCATTTCAGCGCGAAATTGATAAAATATTAACATGATTCAAACGCGAGAATAATTGACTTACAGTAGACCTTTATACCGGCCGGCAAAATTCTAAACATTCTGAAATATACGTTAAAATATTTGTTAAAATTTTAAGTTTCAAATCATAAACCTAAAATTTACAAATATTTATATTCTTAATGTAAACGTGGATGCTAATTTTGTTTATCAAAAATAAAAAATAAGAAATAAAAATAATTGAATTTTGAAATATTTATACAAATGCTTACAAATTCTCGAGCACGAGTTCAAAATATAGCATTAAAATTTTGTTTGTTAAATTATATTTCAAATTTTTACAAGCAAAAATTTCTCATATTTGATTATTTTCAAATTTGCTCTATTTTTTTAAATTTTTATTTGATGTATTCAAATTGAAAAATCAAATTACAAATTAAATTAAATTAGTAATCAACGTAAATATAATTAAATTTCAAATTACTATGCCTTTTTTTACTTTTTTTAGTAGTAAAAAATACAAATTAATAATAAAAATGATAAGATTGTAATAGATCTAAATCAGCTAAACGCTTTATATAAATGAATAGATAGATCTTTTTTCAAAAATAATAAACTTAATTGATATGGATTGTTATTCTAAATAAGATATTGAACATTGAAAAAAATTGATGCGAGTAACAACTCATTATTATTCCAAAGAACCCGTGCGAAATTTTGAAGGATTATCTCGGTAAAATGGAAAACTTTCTAAAAAAAGAACCTTGGGTGTTACCAAAATTTCCCAACCCCTAAAATGAATCGTGATCTGTGAAACCCCATGAAGCCTAGACAAAAGACAAAGTTGTGTAATGAGTCAAAAAGGGGCAAAGAAATCATTAAACGATTCAGATGATCTCTTTTCAACTTTTCCATTCTTCCTCTCTCTTATTTTGCTTTCTTTGCTTTTCTCTTTCTCTCGCTCCCTATCTCCATTCCCTATACTTATTGTGACCAGAATGATGACAATAATAAAAACGAGAATGAGGATCTGATTGAATGATTCACCATATAATTTTTTCCCCAAAAAATTGCCGCTTTTGGGGTAAATAAAATAGAATAACAACTTAAAAATCTCCGGAATACAAAACAACAATACAAAAACATTCATTCTTCAATCATTCATTATATCCACTCTCATATTGCATGTTGCATGCATGCTTTATAACGTCGTCGTTACACCCCCTAGAGTTACACCAATAATATTCTCCCCAAGGGAAAGGGAATTTAAATAGAGTAATAATGATAGAATTTATCTTTTCGGTAGCTATCGTAATTACGCACCATCACACACATTTCACCTTTATTCCAATAATACGCAAAATTCCCTATTTCAATAATCAATCGATACCCAATCGACACACAAACAAACAAACATGTAAATAAATAATGAGACTAAAAATAAATTCCCTGTATTGATCCTCTTTGCTTGGTGACGGATAATAAATTGATTGAATAATACATTAATGCATGCGCATGCACTTACACCACCATCTATTAATAAAATATTAAAGTAACATTAACGATAATCAATCGACTTTTTTCTAAAGCTATAGAGAATATGTGAATCATAAGGTATATTATTTGAATTTTGCAGATCAAATAATACGAAGAATAAAAAACTAACACGTGTTTTGTTTATTTCTTATCATTGACTTTTATCTCATGTGCATCTCAACAAGTTATGTTTCCTTTTTCTTATAACAATAAAATTTAAATTAAGAAAACCTTAAAAATTAAAAGTTACGAGCCGAAAAAAAAAAACTTACACACGCTCAGACAATTCGTTTCTTTACTGGTTGGGAAACAAACATAAAAAAAACCAGATAATCCCCCATGCCAATCTATTGAAAACAAAAACCTAATAAAATGGAATAAAATTCCAATGGTTTTTTCCACGTGTCAGCGGAACGAATTACAATTTCATGTGCGACGATGACGAAGATCTTACGACATCCAACCAAACTATCGAATGACGAAAATTATTGATTTCTTTTGATATCGATAAATTATCGATCGTATAGATATATCGTGAAAAAAAATCGAATCATAATCTGAAAAAATCAATTTAAATTATTATGCAAATATGACTCGATTCTGACTTCTGTTTTATGCACATGCATGTGCTATGTGGCTAATTATTTTAAGATACGTCCATAGATAACGAAATAATCAAAAATTCGGTCGTAAACTGTTAGAAAACTTACCAAATTACCAAATAAATCTCAGAATCATGCGCCAATCAGAATTAGGTAATCGGTTCGAGCGTCAGTCATTTCATTTGCATGAGCCGTTTATTAATTGAGAGACTTGCATTCGTTGATATGGACAACTAAAATAAGTAGGAAATGGATCCAAGTTATTTTAAAATAAGTTTGCAAGTTCATTGAAGCAAGAGGACTTAGTCGTTCGCATCCATTGTTTCTTTAACAATTACCCGGCATATAAGCACTATTGCATCATTTGTCAGCATCCAGTTACTGTCACACTATCACCTTATGCTAATTTATCCCATATTCGTGATGCTTAAACGTAGGCTATTTCCCACTCGGTTTCGATCATGCACGAATGGTAATGCCGGGAAAAATCCGCAACATGATGATGCATCGCTGCACGTAACCACATCGGATTTCGGCAAAGGTGTCACCGAGAAAAGGGTTATTCAAAATTTCCCATTTTGTTCGTGAAATGTTTTAGATGGGACGTCGCCGTTTGACACAATAGCGGATATAGTAGTCCGTCATAATTTCGAATAATGAAATACGTATTTTTGAAGAATTCTTTATTATTATGTTCGAAGCATGATGATTTTTCCTGATGAACCAATATAGAAAAGATTCAAATTACAAATATTTTAGAATCAATGGCTGCGTACTATTACGGCAGCAACTACGTATCTTTAAAATTAGGTTCTAGAAAAGCTGCGTCAAGAAAATCATAGTTTGTGTTTCATTGGATATTTAAATGTAGAAAAATTATTACCTTAATTCGAGAGCCGAAAACGGAATTCATAGGTTTGACAGGTTTTAAATTACCATTATATAATTATTGACAGACAACTATACGCAGTAAGAACAATACGACAGAAAATTAAAATTTTTCAATCAACATTTGCTTCCACAATGGCTAAAGCTTAATTAATAAAATGAAATTCCTTGGCATGCATTCGTTAAACAACACATGGAGATATATATCGATATGGTATGTTGAATCAACCAAAAAGAATACGTAACGGTAAATTGAAAAAAAAATTGTATCGAATTTAGATTGTTCTTCAAGTTGTTGTGGAAAATTCCTGGCCATCAAATTTTTAAAGACGAACAATTTTTTTTCCACAGTTTTAATAGCAAGAGATTATTCCCAAGCATGCTGGAAATGCCAAACAAATCTATTTCATGTGCACATGATTACGTGTCACTATTTTTCTTTCTCACGCACGCGCGTAATAAATGAAACTAAAGCTTATCACCTGTTTTAATTCAACAATAAGAAGGAAGTTTATTCGAAGCGGAGTGTTCTTGAACCATTCAAAGAATCTTTCTTACAATATTGTAAAAAAAATGTCTGACGCGTCGTCAACAGAGAAAGTAAATTTACCAAATGGAAAAACGTTAACTGGTAAAATTTGAGGCTTACATGAGGAATTGCTTCATTATCAACTATACTGCACATAATGATAACTTGATTTGCGTTCTTTCCTTCAAACAAAAAAAAAGTATATACTGGACTGTTCATTAACAATAAATTTGTGGAGTCGGTCGACGGTCGACGCTTTGAGACGATCGATCCGGCGACCGAAAAGCCGATAGTGAACGTCGCGGAGGGAACAGCCGCGGATATTGATGTGGCAGTTGACGCGGCGTCTGAAGCTTTCGAGAAAGTATGGCAACACGTCGATGGTAAAGCACGTGGCCGATTGCTGTATAAATTGACGGATTTGTTAATGCGTGACAGGGAAGAATTGGGGTATTTGGAGGCGTTAGATACCGGGAAACCGATCAAGAGTGCTACAGGGGATGTGGAAGATGCGGTTGATGTGTTGAGATATTATGCCGGGTGGGCGGATAAAATTCACGGAAAGGTATTTATCGTCAATTATCATGTTGTTATGGCGTGTGTTTTTCTTTGACTTGATTGTATTTTAAATGATCAAAGGTGATCGAAACCAGCCACGACAAATTTTGCTACACTCGTCACGAACCATTTGGTGTAGTAGGACAGATCATACCGTGGAATTACCCTATATCAATGTTATCCTGGAAATTAGGCCCGGCATTGGCCTGTGGAAATACAATCGTTCTAAAACCAGCTGAACAAACACCGCTTAGCGCCTTAAAAACTGCTTCTTTGATTCGTGAAGCTGGGTTTCCACCGGGTGTAGTTAATATTGTGCCTGGATATGGTCACACAGCTGGTGCTGCGATTGCTAATCACATGAAAATAGCTAAAGTCGCTTTCACTGGTAAATTATAACTTAATATATTCAATATGTGAATATATTTTACGCAAATATGTGTGTGTGTGTATATATATATATATATATCTATCCATCTATCAAGGATCTACTACCGTTGGAAGGAGTATTCTGAAAGCGGCTGCGGAAAGCAATCTAAAAAAAGTAACGTTGGAACTTGGCGGCAAGTCACCAAACATCATATTTGAAGATGCGGACCTCGGCCAGGCTATCAAATGGGCACATAATGGTGTTTTCTCGAACGCTGGTCAAAATTGTTGTGCAGGATCGCGAGTATATGTCCAAGATACGGTTTACAATGAATTTATTGAGAAATACAAAGAGTTTGCGCTGTCGAAAAAAATTGGGAGTCAGTTCGAACCTGGTGTTAACCAAGGACCACAGATTTCTAAAGTTCAATTTGATAGGTGAGAGGAGTTTATTATTTTGGATTAAAAAAAAAAAGGTTGAGAAGTAAAAATAATTTATTATTTTTTTTTCTGATTCGAAAGGATCATGGAGTATATTCAGGCTGGTAAAAGTGAGGGGGCCAAATTGATACTAGGCGGGGACAGACATGGAACCGAAGGATACTTTATTCAACAAACTATGTTCACTGATGTGGTATTTAATAGCTCCCTTATTTGTGAACGAGAATTTCTTACGCTATTGATTGTTTAAAGCTAACCAAATCTATAACAGAATGAGAACATGAAAATTATGCAAGAAGAAATTTTCGGTCCGGTGGTTGCAATCGCAAAATTCAAAACAGTCGAAGAAGTAATCGAAAAAGCTCACCTAACGAAATATGGGTTGGCCGCTGCAGTCTTCACCAAAGATATTACACGCGCAATTAAGATATCGAATGCACTTAAAGCCGGAACGGTGTGGGGTATGTGTGTTAGTTAATTGTTTTAATCACAAAATGAGTTAACATCAAAACGATTAATTTCCTCGCTTTATCTATTTAGTGAATTGTTATAATCAAGTTAATTGTAACACGTAAGTATCGAAATTTTATTCTTTCCGTATGTTTTACATGTTTCTAATTTTTATTATCGATGATAGTCCATTCGGCGGTTTCAAGGAGTCAGGACATGGTCGTGAACTTGGAAAATACGCATTAGCAAATTATACTGAAGTTAAAACTGTTCAGATAAATTTAGGCAAATAATGCATTTTTTTTTAGCTATTAGTAAAAATAAATAGCAGTTATGCTGAGATCAATTGTATGCAACAGTTACAATTATATATCCTTAGCTATTAGTAAAAATAAATAGCAGTTATACTGAGATCAATTGTATGCAACAGTTACAATTATATATCCAAATTTTTTTCCTCTAGTAAAAATACTAATTTTAAATTAATTAATAACACAAAGGCAATTCGGATAATCCAAAGTACTAGAAAAACCTGAAGGTTACAGTAAATTCGTCTCGATAATCGAATTTACTTATGAAACTTGTATTTTAAATTTTCACTAATATTGAATTTGCCTTTGTATTAGTTTCTCAACCCTACCGTGTTTTTAAACTAATCTGAATACAAGGCAAATAATAATTGTATAAGATCTTTCCTTCATTTCAATACCATCAAACGGCATTCCTCGTCCGCCTTATCTCCTTATACTCTTTCCACATTGTCTTCTCAACTTCAGATTTCTTACGCACAGCACCGAAAGCAATCGCTTGTTCCTCAGCAACCCGTTGCTCGATCTCTTCACGTGCACGTATCTTGTAAAATTCGTTGCATGCGATCGCGTAGGCTTGACGTTGACTCATACCTTTATGCGCCATTAGATACATTTGATACTGAATAACACTATGTTCCCGAATCATAATAATCATAATAACGTATTAGTGAAAGTTGATTAATTAAATAATCAATTTAATCAATTGAATGAAAGCTGATCAATCACCTTTCACCGGTCACCTCAGACGGATCTTCATCATCACCCACCAACGACTTCCACACCTTATCAACCTGAATCTCTTTTTCCATCAACACCCGCGGACGTAACAGCTCGTATGGGTGATCACGATAGAACTGACGGCGCAAAGCGTCTTCCGGGTAGACTATCGGTTGCGGTCTTGCACTTTTTGTGCGTAAATGTTTAGTGCTATTTTTATTATTCTTCTTATTTAAAGTGCTGGTAGCGTTATTATTAGAAGCCCGAGGTAAACTTTGTCCTGGTGGAAACATTTTCATTACTGGATACCATATCGGGGCTTTACTGTATATACCACCTTTCATTAGATGTTCTACATGGTAGTGAAGTTGTGTGGGCCGAATACGAAATAGCATTTTTTTATATTGATATTAGCGTGCGTGGAAATTTTAAATGAATCGATCTACAATCGAGCAAAGTCGGTGTTGCTCGGTCACTGGAGCTACGAAAAATTCTTCCCATCGCGCTTTTTCGCTTTCAAAAGAGAGAAAACCATGAAAGGTTCGAATGATCCCTCAATACTAATAGGTCATGAGCGTTTGTTAGTCACGGCAATAGAGGAGGACATTGATTTATTGTTGTCAACATATCAACGAGTATGGTGGTGAAGGATTTTTCGCGAACTTACTTCACAATTATGTTAGACTCCGCAAATTATCATATTGACTTATTTTCGTATCCATGTAGCGAATAACTTACGACTTTACCGCGTTTAAAGAAATATGGGCAGATTTGAATTTCGAAGTGATTCATTTTGCGGCACATGAAAAGACTGGACGTGAGGTGTTTATGCAGACATTGTTTCAATTACTTTTTGGTAAGAAACTATTTGGCTTGACTTCAAAAATACCTTGTTCTCGAGTTCCTATTTGAAAAAAGCGGACTCTTATCCTTTTACTCTCTCCACACAAAAACAGATAAATACAATAAAACAAATCTCCTCGAAACAAAACTTGGTTCGATTTACGCAATGTACCTTCTGTATTATACGCAACCCAAAAAACTGTTTGATCAGGTTATAAGGATCCGTGTGACTCTAGGTTTGGCGTCGAAGTCTTCATTGATCTCGTGGGTATTCCTCCTCTTTTTAGTTTATAAGCTAATCTTTGCCGTCGATTTTCTAGATAATTGGAAATCATTGTTTGATCTTTTTCAGAACTGCAAGAGATATAAGATTCACGATTTCGTTTATATATATAATAAATTGAAAAATGATTCCGCGTGGGTTTTTGTCGCGGTCGCGGATCCATGTTTCGAATACGGAACGCGTGACGCTGCAAAAGAAAACGAGAACGAATTGTATGTATTTTTGTCTCATCTTTTCTTTCCAGCAATAAATTCTTTTCATTGATTAAAAAATCCAATAATAAAATCCAAAATATATAAACATAGTCAAGCGCTTCCAAAGGAACTCGCACAACTACGCGAAGATCTAAGCCAAATCCGCACAGGCGTTCTCGAAAGCCCTTCAAAGCTCATAGACCTTCAAAATCTCAGCTCAGATTATTACAGCAAACGAGACGTGATATGTGGAACGGCGGAAGAAAAAGCCGTTGGCCAGAAAAAATATTTCTCAATGCTAGATAGCAAAGATTTTGATATTTATCGATTTAGTATGCCGCTCAAGGTTTCCAATATGGATTTTTTGGATGGAATTGAAGAACGATTGGCAAGGAATCGGCATGGAAAAAATCAAGCAAGTTAAATCAGATAATGCAGACTAACCTATCAATGCGAAGAAGATGATGGAACAAAAAACACGAATAAAGGATATTGTAAATTTTTCAAAGCTATTTCAAGTTAGCTAATTTTTCCTGTAACTCGAATGCATAATATCATGTTTGAATTAAAGTCAGGTACCAAAAAATTTTTATCCAATCAAAAATGATTTACAAATCAGATGGGCAAAAAGAATTTGTTAATTCCATATTTGCTAAATTACATAAATTACACTATTTATTAATTCTATTTTCTTACGCGTCGCGCTGGTAGACTTTAAAGATCACGAGCCATATTTTTTTTGTTGTTTTTTGTCTTCTGTTTTTTTTGTTTTTTTTATTTATTAATATAATACCAGTTTCTTAATTCTCCACTTCTTTAACTTTGTGAAATGAAACTTTGTGTAATGATTGTGTATTAACTTATTAGAGTAAGTACAAGTGACTTGCGAAAATAAAACATTGTCAATGACCGTCTCGACCTATATAAAAGTAACTAACTTAATTTATAATCACCTGTTTTGTCGACTTGCTTTATTTTGGTTTTTATACTTAGTTATAAAAAATATAATCATAAAATTAATTCCATTTTCATGAAAAGTTCTCAAGAAGAAAGGAGGCGTCATGTTGATATTTAAAGAGAAAAAAATGAAGGTAAGTTAAAATATCATATGCTCTTTAATATCCTTCTATCAAATTCTTAAAGTCAAAGTATCATAAAATCAATATTAATTTACTTTAAATACAGCCAAAGGCAGAAGGTTGGAGTTGCAAGTGTAATTTTCCATGCCAGAAACCTCAAACGGATCGAAAGAGCATTACAGTGGAAGAATAAACGCGCACGCAAACAAAGTTTCGTACACCAACCTATTAACGTAACTATAAATGGGACGGTTAGCGGAATGAATGAGCGAAAAGTTGTAATTTTATAGGACAAGATTCTTGCGAGATAACGGAGTGGGATGCGAACATACAGGATAAGTTATCTTATCGAGTTTGTTAAGCTGTTGTATTATCTGTAGTTGCGATGCCAATCTGGATTACACGTTGAACAATAATGATACTAAGCATCGAACTAATATTTGATCCGATCAAGAAAATCACGTTCTTCAAATCAACGTCGCAGAAGACGATCGAACAATCATTATTACCGCGGAGAATTTGATTTTGAGAAAATGGTACAGAGATTAAAAATAATCTCTCCACGAGATTCAGTGATGATAAACCAGAGATTGAAAATTATATCTCCACGAGGTTCAAAATGGATATTAATGGCATTTTTTTGGTTAGTTTCATTCAGATGTTGATGCTTAGGCCCCGGAAATCTGTTGAATAAAATACACGAGCCAAGCTCTTCATGAGCATAGACATAATGACTGAACGTCGTTCTGATTCTTGACAATGATGACGCAAATACTCATTTTATTTTGTTATTTTACAGAAGTCCTGGTGGAGATATAAGAGGACGTATCAATACGTATCAATGAAACTCTGTAATTCAATGTAAAAATTGGAATCAATCAAATATAGGTATTATATTAATAATATATAAATTTTTAATCTCAAACATTAAAAGGTCACCCTGTTGTGTATGAACTTGGAGGGGTCGCTGAATCAGCATGGTATATCTTTCATCGTGAGCACGCCTGGGAAAATATAAATTGCCGTGATACTTTATCGGGCTTACACTAAGAAATGAAGCCTATGAATACGGTGTAAATAAATGCACGATATCTACAACACAAAAAGCATAATTCAAGATGCTTTAGAAAACATCAAAAACGTATGTATGTAACATTAAATTCATTGAAAGCTAATAAATTATTCACTGGAAGGTATGGAAGATTGACAAGCAAGAGAATCGAGTGGGATATTTGGTGGTCATGATTAAGACGGCGTCAGTCGCTTGCGAAAAGTTTTGATGACCTCGTCCACATTTCCGATTGACCTCTTTCGGCATTTTCTCGACATCTCAATGACGCACGAAATCTGAATAACCGAATCAGACTCTCCCAAACGAAAAAAAGATACCAGAAAGAGCTCGTGATAAGAGGCGAGGGAATATCGGTAAATAATTATTTAAGCTCGTTACCCTACCATTATTTAGCGTATTAATTCCATCTGTTTTATTAGATTTGTCACGTGCGGTTTTGCTCTCTTGATGCCAAGAGTATTTTTGATGCGAGTAAATATTGCCGTTAATTTTATGATATGACTTCTTTGCGCTGGATATTTTTGTGTTGATAAGGCAGTTGTCTTAGTTATTTGTGTGTGTTCGTGGAATAGAATGGAGCCATGACAGTCCTAAGGTAAACGAATTTTTTAATGTTCATTAAAATTTATTAAATTATTATAATAGTAATAATAATATTAATAATAATAAAAATAGGAGTATTGGATAGACAGTCCTGGTAGCTCTTTCTGTACAATAGGAAACTGTTCATAGAACAGCTAAAATCTCTGTATTTTAGTTTAGTTTCTTACATTTAGAGTAGGATTACACTGTAGCATGCTAAAATAATAAAAATAGGAGTAATGGGGCGCTTTCCAAATAAAATTGGAGTTATTGTAACTTCAAGAATAGATGGATTCCCCAGACAACACATTCGCCTCAATCATGAATCCAATCAGCACCCATGAGCTTTCACACACACTTCGACATCTGGCCAACCACAAAGCAGCAGGCCCCTCAGGCATGCCAAATGAATTCTGGAAAAATGAAGGAAAATACTAAAGAAGCCCTGCGAGAATTACTGAACTATCGCCTCGCACAAACAGATATCTTATTGGATTGGAAAATGGCATCCGTGATTCTAATTCCCAAGCCCAAAAATTGGCAAGGCAAATGTTGATATCACGCGGCCTATTATGCTAATTGAATCAGCACGGAAAATTTTAACCCGTATACTCACGGACCGCATTGCCAAAACACAAATACCTCTGTTCCTATACACACACTTAACTGCCTAGCCGAGCATGCCAGAGAATTCAAAAAAGAAGCATGCTTTATTTTTCAAGATATGAGGAAGGCCTACCAATTGAAAGGGTTTTATCATCCATAGACTTCGAGTTTTTAGCAAATATCAAATAAATTAAGTTTCTTTTTTTAAAACACTTACGATACTTGTTTAATAGATATGTATCGCAATCACAAATAACTTTATCTAAACTCCATTACATAGCAAAAAAAGGCGAATACTTCGGTCTCTAAATATATAGACACTATGAATATAAAATTTAATAGAATTAAAACAAATGTTGATGTTAATAAACAACCTCCTTTCGGTAATATTTTTCTTTGGTTAATTCAACTAATTTTTTTGAGTCAGATAGTTTACTCTTTAATTCTACTGGTAGTTCCATGATGTTTTGCTTTACGGATAAAATCTCTACGCCATTCAAATCTTACGCCATGTTAAACTTCATTTTCTTATAATCATTTCAAAAATCATGGATAACAATGTTTCGATTGTTTTTTTGTCAACACAAATATTCACGTTTTCTAGCTATAGGAATTTTATCCAAACTTTATTTTAAAAAGTTAAGAATGAAAAGCCTTGTCAAATATTCGATTTTATATAAAAATCGAATTATTGTATCTGACTGTGCTAGAAAAATATTTGATAAAAGTCCAGTTAATAAAAAAAAATAAGTATACAAAATTACTATGGTTACACCTTAACAGAAAAAATTGTCCACTTAAGAAAATAACATAAAGTACAAGAAAAAATATATATAAATTGTCAAAAAAATTATAATACAAATGAAAGGAGTCTGAATTATTTACTATTAGATTCGTTAGACGCCCCACCATTATTTAACTGATTCATTAGATTTAAGATTCGTGGGCTCAACGCTTGTTTTGGTGGCTCAATGATTTTTGCGGTCAATCCACCCTCTTCGCTAATGTTCTCCACGCCCACTTTCTTCCTTCGTCGTTTGACTATTTTATCTAAAGCTATTATAGGTTTCGGTAAAGTAGTGTTCACATATGTTGTCGGTGCCGCTGTAATCTTTGTTGGATTGATGATGGGCGGAGGCGAGCTCGAAGCTACAAAGGTACTGGTTTCGTCATTATTAGAATTAATTATGGGCGTTGAATTCGTATTTTGCACCATTTCTTCCACATTACTATTATTACTCTTCTTCGTCTCTACTTTTTCCTTGGAATTACTGATTATAACTAGATCGTTTTCGATATTTTCGATAAGCATTAATGCTTGTTTCTCATCAATGTATTCTGTTTCAGCTGCTGTGACAACTGCCTTATCAGTATCGTTTAAAAATTTGTTTTCGCTTAATGGTTTGCGTGCCACCTGCGGAAATCCTTTTTGCTTTGGAGGGCTGGAATGTGTTGCTGCTGCTAGCTCTTTATTCCCAGTCGGAGTATATTTTCGCAAGGCGGGACTTTTTATCGGGATTGGCGGTGGTGATGTACCAAGTGGTTTTTGGCCTAGAGCTTCGAAGATTGAGGCTTTTGTGATAGGGCGTGCGGGAGTAGAATTCTCTGAAATTTTGTTGTTGCTGGATGGTTCGGTTTTTGATTCGATAACTGTTGAATCTAAATTCTCCGTTTTGGGTGGAATATCTTCGAACGTTACATTTAGTGCTGCTTTATCAGGATTAGAAATCGGAGTTGATTTATCGGGACTGGAAGTTAAAATTGATTTTATAGGTTGGATTACGCTCGGATTCGTAGTTGATGACTCAATTTCTTGTTTTTCATTTATATTGTTTATTGAGCTTGGTTGGAGAGCTGCTTCTTTTATTATTGTTTCTTCTTTATTCTGCGTTTCGGTATTTCCATACCCCATCCAGGACGTGCCCCATCTTAAAAGAGAAGATAATCCACCAATTCCGTTCGCATTAGTGTTTGCACCACTATCTCCCGGAACAGCAATCTCCTCAGAAATTTCATTTCCTGAATCTGGCACGCCTGGTACTTGCAGATATTTGCTTTTTGCTGGCTTCTCGACTTGTTTTTCATTAAAAATTGTTTCTTGTCCCGGCGACTCAGTGATTTTTGAAGAAGGCGGTATAGGCAGTGGACGATGCGGTCTCGGTAATGGACGTCCTTTTGGTATGTGATCGTAAGCAGGGCTCAGAGAATACATATTGCTGTTAGTATTGGTATTAGGATCAGTATTAGTATTTGCGAATTGATCAATAACCGAAGGGGGTGAACTTGGTTTCTGTTTCATTAACAAAGTAAGCCCCGATGGACCCGTAGGCGAAGAAACCAAACTGCTATTTCGTCGAAAAGTATCTTGGGGTAAATCACTTGATTTTGATACAGGAATAGGAATCGCATTCTGTTGTTGGTTATCGTATGCGGATGTGGCATTTGCCATTTCCTGGGTACGATTAAGTTTCGCCCATGGCGAATTTTCGACAGAATTACTTATAACCGATTCACGATCAGGAGATTCAGAATGTGAACTAGGCTGCTGTTGATTCTCTAGCCACTTTTGTATAGACACATTTGATTCTGGTAGTATATATTCATACTCGGAGCCTGGTGCTGGTGGAGTATTCATGGTGACGTTACTGTATATTCCGTATCCGACTCTCGGAGAGGAAGATTGCGGTATTCTTCGGCCTTGAATTGCGGCTTGTTGATTTGTAGGAAAGGCGAGATATCGAACACGTTCAATAGCCGGAATGTAAGCATATGGAGAAGCAGGCGCCAACGGCGGTGATTTGGGAATAAGTTTTGTTGGACTTGAACTTGGTGTTGGTTTTGTCGCTCGGCCAAGAATCGACGATGCCAGCGATCCTATTTTTTTTGGGCTCGCCGATCCGAAAATAGATCCGGCCGAATTACTCGTTGGCGAGTACTGACCACGATACGCATCTTGATCTGCTGCCGCGTTACTCCATGGTAATTCGTGAACTCGTTGTGGAATGTTCACTGGTTGAGATGGACTACCAATTAATTCTTCTGTGTCGTCTTTACGAATGTCCTCCACGAAAAAGTCTCGAGTTTCGTCGATCATGTTATAATGATTCGGAAAATGGTTTAATTCAATGTCAGCAACGGGAGGCGGTTGTAGTGAAGCCGAGTGGCATATACTGGCAGGTAATTCCACAGATAGGTCCTTACTATTTGTTTAAATATCAATTTGAAGATATGTATAACAATAATAAAAATAGATTTGTAACATATAATTTCAAAATATGAATTTGAATTCTTACGTAAAAGGACCTAAATACAAAGAAATAATAATATGGCAAGTGACTTCGAATAGAGCAGTATTCCGGATTGTACGAACAGTATTCTGAAAGAATAGGAAAATAAACAGTTTTATTATTTACACATTAATTTAATAGCAGACTTGACTTTACACTAACCGGCACATGAAGATTCACAGTAATAGTACGATCTTCACCACAATCAAACAAAAAATCTTTATTTTTGAACCATTCCTCGGCGACAGTCTCTGAAATGACTTTTGTATCTTCTGCTTCTTTTTTATTCTTGTTTGCGAGGATTATCAGTTTGTGGAGTATTCCGAGTTTGATACCTTGGACCTTATTAAAAAAATACAGAACCAATGATTTTCAATGTATTGTTATAAATCATGGATTAAAAAGTCAAACTATTAAACGATACTTTACTCGTCTCTTTGTGTCATTCCGAACCCTAACTTGTGCACTAACATTTCCACCACTAGTGAACAACGTTTCAATCAATGTCCCCTCAAGCGTCACAGGTCCGCTTCCACCCATCCACAATTGTTTCATGTTCATGCCCTCAACTGGTTGTTTGTATTCGGGGTTCTGCCCGTCCCATGCTTCTACCACAAATGCTTCTTTTGATTTGAAAATTGTGTCTTCTTTGTTGTTGTAGAGAAGTTGAATTACACTAAATAAATAAATAGATCAATTTAATTTCTATATACATCTATCTGTATGTGTTAAGAGATTTAGTAATCAATCAAATTAATTAAGATACTTACCCAGTCACGATATATCTCAAACTCGCCACATTACCGTACACCACCGAACTTGGTGCGTCAATAGGTATCTTAAACGAGAACGGAAACGTAGTTTTTCCCTTTTTCGCCAACCAATACCCATTTTCGTCTTTGGCACCATGAACAGCATTAGATGGTGGTAGACTTGATCCTTGGAAAACCAAACGTGAAGAGAGAAACGATTGGGTGGCGGTGCATTCACGGGTTGTTAATTCTACATCATCGATTGAAAAAGAAAAAATAAAATATATTTAATTATGCATAAAGATCATTGATTCGATTTTCTATATCTAATTATACCTTCATAAGCGGTCAACTCTACAGAAATTTCACCTAGTTTCACCGACCGCGAGGTTGAACACGCCAACAATAGCCTCCCATTCAGCGTTCCGCCAGCCGTATAAATAGTCGAGTCGAGCAACACATGCAACTTTAGTTTGGAGTTCTTCGAAACTGCGGTCGTGGTTGGTTTGAAATTTACGTTTGCCTCGTGGGGAGGCTGCATTGTATGCTGTGTCACAGCAGACATTGCAGAAGGTCCGCTACTCATTACCGCAGAAGGTGGGCCTTTTAGGTATGCTTCACGAGGCAAGGGAAACGAGGCTACTGACGACTGATCGTCGTCAATTTCTAGACCTGACATTTTTATTTGTTATTGAATGCAGCCTGCGTGGTTTTTTATCTTTCTTGTTTATTCAAATGTGAATGTAATTTTTATAAGACTTATAGTGTGTCAATGAGACCAAAGATACACGAGTTCTTTTTTAATAGCATACAACAGACGTTAATAAAAATAGGAAGAGAATGACTAATAAAATAGGAATGGAGAATGAATGAATACTTTATGAAAAATAAAATACCTCAGTAATTACGTTATTTTGCTTTTTACAGCAGCAGCTGCATTCGATCAAATTCAAAAAAAAAGAATTCGTCAAAACTAAACAAGAAAGAAAAAAGAGAGTGCGATATATCTATCTATCATAATAAGAAAAACTATAATGATGATATAGTGGTAATAAAAGTACGGAGACCTGTTTATCATTTCAGGGGGGATCGCGCGAAGAGTTTATAATTATTTATGCGAGGGACTCCATCTGATTGGTCATTTTTTTTAGAAATCGTGGGTCATGTGCATGGGGAAGAAAATGTGTTAATCATTTGCCGAAGCGTATTCTGCCTCACCCAAATGCTGGAAGAAAATGTTCTTACTGGATGTCAGAAGTTTGATATCGATATCTCTTTGCGAATACGAACTCAATGATAGCAATTTTTTAAAATGACCGTCACGCACACCTCTGAAAAAAACACGCCAATTTTAATGTTTCAAAATGTACCGTTTTTTGTCAAAATCTCTCCGTGTTTAAAAGTACGAACCGGCTGTTCAACACAAGCTGCTTTACGGTTCATTCAATTTCGCAAGTTAAATTTACTAGTAAGTACCATTGTAAGATTTACAAGTAGCAAAACGAATCCAACTAACGTGCGCTTTGAAAAAAAAAATGCTTCGTCCCTTTCAGAAAATCCTCCAAACACTTTTTTTACCAAGCAAAATTTCACAACACGCATTCCTCCAAATCACATGTAAGTACGCCTCTAAAGATTTACAAGTGGCAGCATCTCATTCGTGGAGGAAACCACAGTCACGGTGCTGTGGTGGAGGTATAGAAGGGTCGCCTTTCAGCAATTCTAACAAGATATTCTTTTTTTTCAAACTCGGAAAGTCGTAGCGTTTTTGACAGATAATAATGATGGGCTGAAGTTATTCCTTCTGCCTGAACATATCAAGAAAGTTCAGGATCAATATGTCTGGTCAAGCCTTCCTTGATTACACTGAAGAAAAACTTATCCAAGATGGATTGCTAAGAGGACCTGCGTCAAGTATTGTTAGGTTAATTGCAAAAATCAAAGGAGATCAAGGTAATTCATACGTTTGACTACATGGCTTGTCGTGTCACTACATTCTCCTGAATTTCACGCCGTCGTATTGGCAATTTTTGTTTTCGCAATGTAGCTACCAGTTTATTACCTACATTGAAGAGAGGTTGGAGGAACCTATCATCCCGCCCAGTAAGTTGAAAATTCCTACTTTAATAAGTATAATATCTAGCAAATATAGACACTCCGATTTTTCATACAGAACGTCGCAAGTTTGCCGCTGCCAATGAGGCTTATCCAGGCTTACATTGAACCTAGAATTCTTGAACACCTTGGAACATACCTCCTTCAACGTCAGTTCTGCCTCCTTTTCGGACACCGCCAGAGTGGCAAGACTACTGCCTGTCAAGCGTTATTGCGATGGTTCCACAACAACCCGGAAAAGTTTCCGGCGGTAACCCGGACGACTTCGAGATATATCTCGTAAACTTCGACGGGAATGTTCAGGTCAACAAAGGGAGAGAGATGTTCTGGCTGTCTGTGCAAACGCTTTCGAGCACAGACGAGCATCGATTCGGCTTTAGTGATTCAAGCAAGACAGATTGGGAAACGTTTATGAAATTCTTTCAAAAACCAAGATTTTCTTCGTCAAGGCCTGTCATTCTCATCATAGACGAGGCTTCGCGTTTGAGCAGTGCGGGTAACAAAGACGAAAGCACACAAGAAATTATCGACGAATTCATATAAGCACACTTCGAACTCTCAAGGGCGACCGCACTAATTATTGTCTACATTCTCTTGCACTTGTTGGCACCTCAAGCATTAGGGAGTTCCTTATCGCTCACAACAAGCCTGGTGCTTCGTCTCAAATCTCGCTGTTTACGGAAGAGGCAACTTGGACGACCGGTCGATTTACCAAAACAGACGTCGAGGAGCTTTTTGTTCAGTTCGCTAAAGATTCGGATAACGGATTCGATTCAGCTAATATTGCAGCAGATATTTTCGATCTCACCCTCGGCCATAAAGTTTTCGTCGGCGCTTGTGGTGCTTATATTCAACAAGAATCCGAAATTCTATCGTCCCCTATTGTAACAGTTGATGATTGGAAGAAGCGGACTACCATTGAATTATTACGAGACATAATGCAGAAACCACACTTCAAATCCATAGTGCTGTCTCTCAATCACCTCTCTCCGGCGTGCAGATCTATTCTTACCTCAGTACTCCGTTACGGCACCTCTGAAGTTGATATGGTAAGTTAATTGCTTTTTCGATTTCTTGCTTTGATCCTTGCTCCGTTGTTTATTGTATTTATCAATTTTTTTATTTAAAAAGACAAACGAGGCTGCAAAATTTCTTCTTGCGGAGGGAATGGTATCTATCAAAGAGAGAAGAGAGGACAACTATGTTCTCCGCAGTTTGATGCTTTCCAGCATAGTCATACCTACACTTCGCCTATCCCAGAGTGTGCCGGACGGGGAAAAGCTTGATCTTCAGTGGTTGTCAGCGCGTACAATTGAGGTGAGTTTATGCAGAAAATTATTGGTAGTTGGATAATATTACCTTTTTTTTCTTACTAAGTATTTCTTTCCGTAAAGAATTTGTGCATTCGGCACCTCTACTCTCCGCAGACTTTGAACGCCGATAAAAATCCAGCAGAGTATGCATTACAGTCCGAGTTCGTAACTATCTTCAGGAATTTGGTCCCATTGGCATACCCGCTCTTGCAATATAAAATTTTGGTAGAGGTTAAAGAGCGCGACGAACATAGCGTGCGTAACCAGCGGCTAGACATTCTCGGCCGCAACGGTGAATCTACCTTCATGTGGTTTCGAACTTGTCGTTGCAGCGAGCAAGACAGATTTTGACGAACACTGCGACCGCGCCGAAAAATACGGAAAAATCCACAAGTGCCAGATGTTCATGGTCAACCTTTGTCTTAAAGTCACATTGTGTGAATATTTTGGAAAGCGCTCTTATGACTTGACCGCGGTGAATGTGGTCATTAATCCTGATGAGTTGAAGGGCACTATAAAATATGCAAAAAAAGATGAGCCTGTGTCGATTAATGGTTCTGAATGGGATATGCTGTTTAAGAGCTGATGTTTTAGAAGTTAGTAACAAACCGTGCCATGTAAATAGTTGCTTTGGCTCTTGAATTCTAGTAAAGAAATGAGAATTGCAATGGCGTATATCAATTAGAATTGTTTAACTGTACTTTCTATAACATTTGCGAAGCCATATCTTGCTGTCGCACTTTCTATCGCTACAGTCAACGACTGTTTGAGGTGTGGAGTCCGTAATAAAACGAAAATGTATAAGCTGGTTGAGTAAAAATAGCAAGGCTTATATAAATAAAAACAAAAGATTAAGATTAGAAAAAGAAAATAATAGAAAAAAAAAATAATAATAATAATAAAACAATATTAAAATGAAAGAAGAAAAATAAAAAGTACTAAATTAAAAATTAAAGAAAGTAATAAAAAAAAGAAAAATGATATAATTACTTAATTATTAATCTTTATATTACTACTATTTTATTTTATAGTCAAAGATTTATAAAATTAAAAAATAAATATTTTTAGTTAATCAATTTTTTAATATGATATTAAAATTAAAAAGAAAATTAGCAAAGATTATTAAAAAATCAAGTGATAAGTATATTTAGCTAAAACAAAAATAATATACTTAAATATGAAGTTGGCTCAAAGTATTCATTTCTACTGTGATAAGATTTCAATTAAGTATCATTAAAAGTTTTGTGTAATAACTGGTCATGTTAATTTTGTAATTTGTAAGTTTCATTGCCAAGAGTTTCATGAATGTAGAATCATTCTGTACTTCATTATGACTGAAATTTATTTTCATGAGTAACATGTTATTTCATATTATACATTAGAACTTTATCATCAATTTTGAATTATGTGATTCTTTGTAATTTTGAATTATGTCTTTCTTTCATTTATTATTGTTGTCTTTTGATTCAATTTTGTACTATATTGATGTCATCTGATAAGTGATGGATTAAAGAAAATATTTGATCTAATATTTTATCTTCTTCATCTTCATTTTTTGCTATTGGTAATAGATATTTCAAATCAATTAGTAATTAGACATTTCTTCCATAGATCAAGAAGAAAGATTCATGTTTGATAATATTATTTCAAAGTGTTCTGTATGTAAATAATACTAATAATATGTACACATTTCATTGTTCATCTAAGATAATATAATATTTCTGAAATATTTCACATAAAATTCTATTAAATTATTCTACTATTCTATTAGTCTGTGGATGATATGATGATGAAAACTTGTGTTTAATTCCAAATCAAGTGGTAAGTTCTTTGATTACTTGAGCTGTAAATTCAATTTCTTGATCAAATTGTAATTTTTTAGGACATCCATATCTATAAATTATTTCTTCAAAAATAAATTTGATAATTATACTAGCATTTTTATTTGATATTGCTTTTGCTTCAGATCATTTGATAAGTGAATCTATTGTTACAGTTAAGGTTTCAAATGATTCAGTTCAAATCAGATTCTAAATAATTCGATTTAGTTCAATTCTGATTTGATTCTTAATTTTTAGAAAAATCAAACTGTTATGATTTGATTTGATTCTGATTATTAGCAATTATAAAATCAAATTGAATTGAATCAATAATTTGTAATCTGATGTAATTTTTCTGTCAAGTTATTTGATAGGTTTTTTTCTATTAATGAATGATCAACCAGATTTAAAAAAGAGCAGTAGTACTTTGTATAGTGCATCTAATATGACAGTATCTGATGAAAGTAAGAAGACAAGGAGTATTATTTGGATGTACTTTAGTTGAGATCACATAAAAAACAAGGCAAAGTATAATTATTACAGATGAGTGGATTAATAATGAGTTTAGTAGCGTATTTAGTATCAAAAAGAGAAGAAGAGAAACTTAAGAAAATGTGACACATTTAGTATCAAAAAGAGAAGAAGAAAACTTAAGAAATTTTTATTTATATGTGATGTATTTAGTAAGAGAAGACTTAATAAAATTTTATTTTAACAGAAGTTATTATATATGTGTTGGCAGTAGTACTTCAAATCTTCACAAGTATCTAAAAAGCCAATATTTGATCAAAATCTCTAAATCAGAAGATCCTGAAATAATTAATAAATGATTGAAAAAAGAAGTACTACTTCTGGTAATTGATATTTATTATTTTTATTCAATTTAATATTTACTAATTTTTAATTTAAAATAGCTATTTTCATTTAAAGTATTTCAAGTCTTTCTTCTTTACTGAATCATATATTCTGACCAGCCTTTTTCTGAAGTCAAGAGCCCAAATTTATGTCAGATCTTTTATTTTCTCAAAACAAATATTATTACATCTTCTGCAGATACTATCAAAAATAAAATCATAAAAATCTTTGATGAAGAAAGAACATATTTAAAAGAAATGTTACAGGTATATTAGAAGACTTACCATATTTTTTTATATAAAAATACAGGTGTTGATCATTTTTTTAAAAAATATTTTATTTAAGAATATTTCAGGATGCATTTCCTTTACTCTTGATGCCTGAATCTCCTGCAATATAATATCTTTTCTTGGAATAATATGCCATTAGATCAGTGATGACTGGACATTACATGAAACACTAGTTAATTTTATGAGATTATCTGTATTATATTCTGATGATAATCTTTATGAGATCTTTGAAAGAAGTTATAGAGAATTAGCAATTTTTACTAAGATTTATTTGAGTTAGAGTTCAGATTCATTTTATATTAATTAAACTCAATAATATTTTATTTATTAGATTCTAGTATTAATAATAGATAATGCATCTAATAATGATATATTGTATCAAGCTCTGGAAAATAAGTATGCAAACAAGAATATTAAGTTCAAAAAAAAGAATTAGTATATCAGATATCTTATTCATATAATGAATCTTGCTATACAAAGTCTTTTAAATTCACTTAGAGCTAGAGCTTTAAAAGATGAAAATATTATGATGGAGGAGAAAAATATAGCCAATACATTAATTATTATCCAAAAGGTATATTTATTTGTATTTTTTTTATTATAATTCTTTTCTTACTTACTTTAATTACTTTTTTTAACTATAGAAACTGGTTACCAAAATTAGAGCATCTTCTTAACATTAGAAAAAATTTTCCAAATAATCTAATATTCAAGATGTTTCTGAAAAAGAATTAATCATTGATGTTGTGACCAGATGGAATTCAATATTTAATATGATAGAATGTGTATTTGAATACTATGAGATATGAAATGTATATTTGAATATTTGATGATATGTATTAACTTACAGTTTTTTATTCTTAGTCTCTCGAAACTATAACTATAGCTGATAGAGATTTATGAGATTGGATTTTGAGCAAGGAGAATTAGAATAAAATATCTGAAATTATAATATTATTACAAGTAAACGTAACTTAATTTCTATATTCTGTAAAAAAATTTTATACTTACATATTTCTTAGATTTTTAAATATGTAACTAACCATATCAGTACAAGTTGCTATCCAACTCTTGCAGCAGTAGTTCCCATCTACAACTGGCTCATGAATAATATTAAAGACTTTTGAGATGCTAAGAAAAGATTAAATGATGTTAAGAAAAAGTATTTGATAAGCTTTCAGAGTATTATTTGAAAACTGATAGCTCAGTTTATATAATTATGACAAGTAAGTGTATTTTAGACTTTATTACACCAAATCACATAACTGATATGATTATTAATTTATTATTTACTATATAAAGTTCTTAATCCACATATTAAGTTAAAATACTATAAAGACAATAATTGGGAAGAGTTATTTATTAGTGCAATATACAAAATGGTAACTGATATATATATTTCAGACTACTTATCTTGACTTGAAGATTATTTACTAGAGATTCAAGAAGATGATCTCATAATTTACATCTATAAGTGCTAATGAATTGATAGGGGAAGTGAGTTACAATAATATCTGAAAGGATTTGTTATATCAGAAAAGATAGATATATTATAATGGTAGAAGATAATGTTAAATTCATTGCTTTTACTTACTGCATGCTCCAATAGTAATTTTGTTATTCCAGATCAGATTAGTATTTCATCACTTTGAATGAACTGATGAATTAGTATTTTTATAGCTTCATGAGGCTAAATATTCTTATCTGGCAACTATAACAAAGGATTATTTGGCAATTCTGGCTATCAGTATGCTGATTAAGCATGCATTTTCTGGTGGTATAGATTTAGTAACTCCTACTTGAAGCAAATTAGATGCAGAAACTATCAGGATGTATATATGTTTGAAAGGATAGTAGAGTAATATGTAAAATAATATATAAAATAATATGTAATTATCTAGAACTAAATAAAATTATCATGTTTTGGACAAAATATTTATTGTAAACATGATGAACTTTTAGAAGTATAGATATTAGAGAAATCTGAAAGAGTAGTAGAGGGTCAATGACAAACTGTAAATGAGTTAATGGAGAGAATATGGGAGGATTAAAAAGAGGGGAGATATCAAATAAATGATATAATTTATTGAAAATTTAAGAACAAATTTAGAGTCTCTCTTAATTTGAACAATATTTTTTTAACAATTAATTTTTATTTTATGCTTCTATAATTTTTATTTCTAAATTTATAATTCTCTTTGATGAAGACTACTTGTACAGCTACAATGAATCACTTTATATGAGTGATCCATCTTATCTCTTCATTTTATATAACTGTGTAATTACTATTATCCAACTTCCATCTCAATTCACTGATCTGGATCTTTATTTATTTTATTTATTTTATTTATTTTTTGTAAAAATGAATAATATCATTATAAATTACCCATCATATAATCATAATATTAAATTTAATGTATTGTTACTATTTTAAGATTATGCATATATAATTATTTTAAAATGATAATAGTGACTGTGTTCATGGCAGTTATTGACTTTTATAGCTTTAAGAGTTTATATGACTGATTATTCTTTTAATAAGGTGATATATATAAGATTTACTTCTAATAAAATGTGATTATCTTCTTAATAAGATAATTTATACGTGTTTTACTTATAAC